CCCCGCCCCCGGCCCGGCCCTGCTTCCGCCCGGCCCCGCTACCTGCCGGACGAGCAGAGCTGTCTGCAGCCGCGTGCCCAAGCCTGCAGACACGGTTCGGAGGAGCTGCCACGCGCCCTGCACCGCCTCCGCGCGTTCGCCGGGATCCGGCTGCGCTGGGGGCCCGCAGACGCGGAGGTCGCGACCCCTCCGCACGAGATTCGCGCACACGACCTGGTGGCGGTGGAGCTCGGCTTCCAGGGCCTAGAGGGGCAAAGCAGCGGGCCCAGTGAAGGAAGGAAAAGAAAAGGGGCCGGGACCCTGAAAGGGACAGACGGAGAGCTGACGACCGTCGGGACGCTAGGAGAGCGGACACCTTGTGTTTCTGTAGGGCGCCTGCGATCTGCTTGAGATCCCGGCCCAGGGCGGCTTTCTCCATCAGCTGTCCGCGCTCCGTCAACCAGGCCTCCTCCTCCTCACAGCTGTGCAGAAACTCTGCCCGCTGCAGGGTCTGCTCCAGCAGGGCCCGCCTGTTGGGGAGTCGCGGGGCATGGGGAGGGGCTTCCCTACCAGGGTCAGGCACTCCCCTTAAGACAGGATTTTTCTTTTCCCTGGGTGACATAACAGGTGAGATAGAAGCCTTGAGGATGAGGGTTAGCGTAGAGAAGACGGCCAGGTCAGTAGTATTTTGACCTGGGCAGGAGATAATTCAGGTTACAGAAAAGTTCTGGAGAAGGTGGAGGAGTTGGGTGGGCTCTTACCGGGCCCTGCCAAGAGCCACCAGGCTCTGGTGGAGATGGGCCAGTGCCCTGGCCTTGTCCCGCAGCACCTCCACAATGGTGCCCAGGGAGGAGTCCAGCTCTGCCGTCTGGTGGGTAAGATGGCTCACATGGGCTCCGTTGGCTGAGACTTGGGCTTCCAGCAGGTCGTGCCTCTGCAGCTGCTCTACTACCTCTGCCAGCTGGTGCCCACAGGTGGTAGAGCTGGCTGGCACCTGGCCAGAGTTGAGTGGTCACTTAAGTCCTAGGATGCTGGTTCCTGTGAGCACCAGCACTGGAGAAGTCCTCCCCCGCCCCCACTGCTGTATTTCCCAAGGGTCTGCTGGTCCAGTGCCCACCTGCAGCTCCTTGAGCTGGTCAGAGGCAGCCTCCACCTCCTGCAGCAGGCTCAGCACAACCTGCATGCCTGCCACCTGCTTTCTCTGCTCCTGTAGATGCTGGAGTAGCCTATGCCAGCGCAGGTTGATCTCCTTCTGCCTGGAAGACAAGAGAAGAAGGGGAGTCTCCACTGGCTTGGGACAAAGAAGCTACCTCAGCATTCCCAGTCAGTGGTGGGAGTTGGCTGCCCTGGAGGAGTCTGACCTCTGTGGCTGAGGGCGGGGTCTGTGGACTCTGCCAGCATCCCGGCATGGGGTGGGTGGTACAGTGTGTCCTGCTCTTGGACACAGGCAAACCAGAGGGAGGGCCTGGAAGGTTCAGGCCTTCAGGGTGTCCCTACCTTGCATTCCCCATCTCAAGTGATGAAAATGCCATCCTTCCAGGTGCCCAGATTAAAATCTTGATAACTTGCTTTCTCACACCCCACATCTGTCTGTAGACCCTATTTGGCACTACCTGCAAACTTTATCTAGAATCCCACCACTTGTTATCACCTTCACTGCTTCTCCATCCTGGATGACTGCAATAGCTTTGTGACTGGTCTTTCTGCCTCTGCCTCTGTCCCCCGGGATCTATTCCTAACATAACATCCAGGTGATCATTGCAAAACAAAAGTCAAGTTGGTGTCATTCCTCTGCTCAAGCCTGCCAGTGATTTTGCATCTTTCTTGGAGTAATAACCAAGTTTTTATTGTACCCTGCAAGGCCCAGCGTGACCTCCACCTCCACCCCTCACCCCTGTACCTCCCCGATGCTATCTCTTGCCATGTGTTCACTTTGGCTGACACGGCCTCCATGCTGTTTTCCAACCTTTCCAGGCATGTGCGCACCTTGGGACACTGCACTTGCTGTTTTCTCTACCTAGAACACTCTGTCCCCCATGTTGCATGGCCAGTCTCTTTGCTTCTTTCTGATCTTTACTTAAAGTCTACTTCTCAGTAAATTTTTTGTGGCCACACAATCCCCACCCCCAAAAACTTGGCACCTCATATTCCGCTATCCTGCTTTATTATTTTTTTATCATTATCTCACATGTTATATATTTTTCTTATTTGTCTGTTTTCCTTAGCAGTGTGTAACCTTCACAAGGGGAGGGATTTTTGCTTGTTGCCTTCACTGCTAAACTTCCAGCACCTAGCACAGGGCAGGGGGCATGGTGGACACTTGATAAACGCTTGTTTAGTGAATCAGTCAGACAGAGGCCAACTAGAAAGAACGGTGATTTACCAAAAGGGATGAGTTCGTGATGGTGAAATTTGAAGTATCACTAGGAGACAGATCTTTGTAGAGGGGGCCCTGAGCCCATAAATCAGCTCTCTCCTCTGTGGCCAGGAATGGGCACATATAAGGATGGAGGTGTGGTAAGAGAACCTAAGCCTGTTGTGAGGATGGTTCAGGCACTCGAGGCTCACCTGTGGGCCACATCTGCCCAGCTGTGGTACTGCTCTTGCCGGAGGATGTCCGTGATCTCAGCCAGGGCCTGGAAGCGCCCTTCCTGGGGCAGGATGGCAGCCTCCAGCATGCCCAGTCTCTGGATGGCCGCCTCCACTGTGGCCATGCTGGCTGGTGGGGCTCTGCCCTGGTCCAGCACCCGCTCTGTGTCTTTTAGGAAGCTGTCCCGGAGGGCTGCCTTGTGCTGGAAGCGCCGGGCCAGGGTTTCCAGCCGCTCCAGCTGCAGTAGCCTCTGCTGCAGGGCCTGGCTCCGTGTGGCCTCTGCCCGCTCCAGCTCTGCCCAGCGCTGGGACAGCTGCGCTGGGCCCAGGTCCTCATGAGGCAGGAAGGGCCTGCGGTTCTGGGCTTGGAGCACTGTCTGCAGCCGGAAGAGCAGGGCCTCTGTGGCCCCTCGCTGCTGCAGCCGAGGCGGCTTCTCCTGGGTGCGGAAGGAGGCAAAGGCTGACAGTAGCTGGCGCATGGCAGGCAGCGAGTCTGGGAAATCCCGCGCCTCCAGTTGCTCTTGCTTGTCTGCAATCCAGCATAGCAGGTCAGCTGCCAGCTGCTCATACTGGGTCTGCAGCGCTTCTGTCTCCTGGAGCTGGAGCAGGATCTGGTGGAGGGTGTGGGAAGGGGGTCAGAGCAGCTTCTCAGGGCAGGTCCTATTGGCCCCGGAATGGATGCTGAGTTGCCCAGGTGGGCAGTAGCGCCCTCCTTCAGCTGAAGAGGTTCTGAAGTGGTGCTCCCCCACCAGTCCCAGAGAAGTGGATTTGCCTACATCTCATACTCGGATGCAGGACTGTGAGGCTCCCTCTCCATGACTGGGGGTGCGACTGTCCTGCCTTCCTCCTCATGTTTTACCTCAGTTGACCACACCTCTGAGGGTTGAGGCTCTTCAGGCTGCTATTCTTTTTCTGGGCCTTCTTCCCTTCCCTGAACCTCCCGCTCTCCTAAAGCAGCTCAGAGCCCTAGGCCTGTTTCGGTCCCCCACCCCCAACTGAGACACCAACCCTGAGAAGAACACTCCCAGGCCTCAGCTTCTGCCATCGTGTCCAGAGAGTAAGAAAGCCCCCCCGAAGCATGGACTCTGAGTAGTCCCTGCCAAGCAGAGCCTCTTCTATGCCTGTCCTTGCAGATTCCTGGTTCTCTAAGCTTTTTAATCCCATTAGGAGCTTAACAGCCTGAGAGGGGAGGGGCAAGGGAAGGGACAGCAGGGAACATTCCTTCCCTGGCTTCTCTTGTATGCCAGACACTGTGCTGGGCATCTTACCTGTGCTCCCTTGAAAACTCACAACAGCCTTCTATTATCTGGGCGTTATCATCTCCATGGTACAAAAGGAGCCCGGCAAAGTTGGGTGAGTTGACCAAGGCCACACAGCTAGCCAGTGGCAGGGGCAGGCTTCTCACCTAGGCCTGTCTGACTCCTTACCCCACCTCTCCTTTCTCACCAACCTTAGTGAGTCTCCTTTGGACAGTCTGGCCCCGGTGCAGGCGGGAGAAGAAGTGGTAGTAGAGGGAGATGTAGGTCATGATGGAGCGCTCATCGGGCTGTGGGGCTGCCACGTCCTCAGGGTCCAGCAGCTGAGCAATGCTCAGCTCCTGTTCGGCCAACAGGAAAGCAAAGGCGAGATTGTGCAGCGGGCGGTCAGGACGCAGGGAGTTGTAGTCCAACAGGTCTGGCCTGGACACAGAGCAGGGAGGGCTCTGTACTTTTTTGCTTTTAGTAGACTTTATAAATACATGTGTGCCCCATTAGTCACTCACAACTTACTGTGAATTTGTTTCCCCCTCACAGTTATCTGAGACCCTGGCTGAAGGATGAGGACTCCCACAGAGAAAGTGGAGGGTTAATTTGGCACAGGGGCCAGGCCAGTGGGCAGGAGGAGAAGCTCCAAAGGGCAAGTACTCGCCAGGGTGGAGACTGAATAGAATTGAGGGGCACGGAAAGTGGAGAAGCCAGGGTCAGTGGCAAACCTGGCCAATCCCATGGCACTTCCTAGGGAAGAGAGGAGGGCTAGCCTAGAGCAGGGGCTCAGACACCAGCCCTCTCGACTTCTGTCCCCACTCTCCCTCCTCTGAGAGGGCCCCGAGGACGTGAGAGTGGGCAGGTTGAGGACCCAAGTCCTGCAGCCCTTGGCTCAGTGGGTAGAGGCCTCCTGAAGGGGGCTGAGCCCTGCCTCAGGCCGGGTCACACCTGTGGGCATGGATGAGGGCATTAAAGCCTAGCCCGTCACTCCAGCTGCGGGAGAAATCGGTGATGTTCACGTTGGTGTAACTGGCTGTCTTCCGCTGGCACCAGACCAGCAGGGCTTCCTTGGCAGACAGCAGAGCGGCACTGACCCCAAACTCCTCCTGTGGGACAGGGCACCGGGTCACCATAGGGGTACAGAGTGAGGAGGCAGCAGAGCCTGCAAGCTGTAGAGAGGCAGGCCGGGGCAAGGCCGGGATCCTGCTTCTCCCCCTCCTGGAGGCAGGTGTGGACTCCCCTCTCTTTAGAGAATCTGAGTTTATACGATTTCATCCATGGTGGGCAGGGATTGGAAGTGAGAAGAAGGGGGGCAACTGAAAACCGTCACCACAGAGCAGCTGGCTTTACTTTGCAACTGGTCATTACATAGCCACAACTCCCTTTTAAAAAACATTTCTTTAGGTGTTTTTTTTTTTTTTTGAGTCGGAGTCTCACTCTATCGCTCAGACTGGAGTGCAGT